AAAAAAAAAAAAAAGGAAACAACAGGATGTCAAGTGACCGGGAATGCTGCTCGAGAAGATCTAAAGCAAAGCCCAATTAAAGCTTACCTGAGAAGTCATCACAAGCAGAAAGAGGCAGCAGGTAGATGAGAGTGGAGGGCTATAAAGTGGTAGCAGATCAAAATATCGCTTGAGCAACTGGTAGATGCCAAGCATTGGGGGAAATCGTGAGGAGGAGAAGGGGGAATGAATGGGACAGGGAAAGGAAGATCAGACTTCACATGTGGGGGCCTGGCTTCCAACTCCAACCCTGAGCCTGACGCATGGTGCTTCGCCTTTGGGGGCTGGCTTTGCCTCGTAAAACAGGGGAGTTGTCCTGAGAATCTCTAAGCTCCTCACAGTGCTGGCTTTCTGTGCATCTGTGACAACAGGAACAAGGAGAAAGTGTGAGGCCCAGGAGGGCAGAGATCCCATGTTCGCCAACGACTCTTGTGTGCCCAGTCTGGCACGGGGCACACCCATCCAGCCTGCTGTCTTCACTCAGAAATAAGTAAGTGGATGAGCACAGTGTGGCCAGTGGGGAGCATGTCCTCTGTCTTAGTTACCCAGGCCTGCGATGGCGGAAATACCACAAGTGGACGCCTTTAACAAACATATTTCTTTTCCCACAGCTCAGGAGACCAGAAGTCTAAACTTAGGGCACCACCTCTAGAGAAAGGGTTTCTTGCTTGTGGCTATAGGGGAAGGGTCCCTGTTCCTTGGTTCCCTGGTGATCTTCAGGATGGTGTGGCAACTATCTTTCACCATCTCTGCCCACACAAGGCGTAGTAGGTCTATCACATGATCAGAAGAAGAAACCTCATTCCCAAGTGGGACTCAGGTCCCTGTGAGGGCACACAACCTTGGAGTTAGGGCTTGGTCCACGTACATTTGGGGAACACACTTCAATCCACAACACCATCTCAAAGAGCACACTTCAAAATAGAATCCGTGGCTCATTAACTCATCTATTCGTTACACAAATTGTTCCAAGGCGCAGAGAGGCGGCTCTCCTCTTTCTATGGCATAATGACCAGGGGTCCTCAAACTTTTTAAACAGAGGCCAGTTCACTGTCCCTCAGACCCATTGGAGGGCCGGACAATAGTTTAAAAAAAAACTATGAACAAATTCCTACGCACACTGCACATATCTTATTTTGAAGTAAAAAAACAAATGGGGCAACAACACCCGGCGGGCCGGATAAATATCCTCAGCAGGCCGCATGTGGCCTGTAGGCCATAGTTTGAGGACCCCTGGCTTAGTAGGTTTCATGCTGGGCTGCTAACCAAAGTCAGCAGATAGAAACCACAGGCCACTGCAAAGAAAGCTGAGGCCGCTACCCTCAGAGCCGGTTATGATCTTGGAAGGCCACAGGGCCAGTTCTACCCTGTCCTGCAGGTTCACTATGAGTATGAATCGATGGACAGCAGTGAAGTTGGGTTGGGTTGGGTTTGGGGTTGGGTTGGGTTGGGTTGGGTTTTCCCTGTCCTAAGATTTATTGTGTCAGAAACCCTATGTAGGGTCCCTGTGAGTCGCAATTGTCTAGGTAGCAGTGGGTGGGTGGGGATTCACTGTGTAGGCACTAACTGCCCAGTACTGCTGCCTTCTCAGAGCTGATGCATTGGGGCTCTGTCAGGCAGTGAACACTCTAGGAGACACAGAAGCCAAAACAGCTCAGAGCCAGCCTAAGCAGGTGGAGTGGTCAGCTTTGACTGGGGGGCAAGGGGTATATGGATGAGTCATGGGAGATAAAGCTGGAAGCGTGAGTTGCGTCCACCTGGCTCAGCCTGGTCCACCAGCAGCACTAGCCGTCTATCATGAGAGGCAGGACCATGGTTAAGGGCCCAGGTTTGGATCTAGACATCGGGGTTCCAACCCAGGTTGAATTGTAAGCAACTAGCTTAACTTTCCCATGCCTTAGTTTCCATAGAGACCAACAACCAAACCCACTGCCATCCAGTCTGTTCTGACTCATATCAACCCTGCACGGGGCTTCCAGAACTAAGTCTTTCAGGTAATGGGTAGGACACAGCAGGGAGGTGGGAGGCAGAGAGACGAGTTAAGAGGTCGCTGCAGTTCTAGGGGAGGAGAGCTGGGCACACAATGCAGCAAAGTTGAGGGATCGAGGAGAGGAAACTGGCCAAAGACGAGCCATCTGAGCCACTGAATAGATCAAGCTTGACACGTGCTTTGACGTGGCTGATGCAGAAACTGGAATAGGTGAGGGAGGCAGTCAAAGCGTTTGTCTGGGAAAAAAATGTCCATTTTCCCACTGAGGTGACCGTTAAAATTAGTTCAGCTTGCCCTAGACTGAAGGAGCCCTGGTGTCACATCGGTGGAGCACTAGGCTACTAAGCAAAAGGGTTGTAGATCGAGCCCCCACCCCTGACTCTGAGAAAGCAAGACCTGGTGATCTGCTAGATTACAGCCTACAAAACCCTATGGGGCAGTGCTACTGTCACATAGGGTCACTATAAATCGAAATAGATGAGGCGATGCCTAACTAATAGGCCTAGATCCCAAGCTTCTCACACAACTTGTTACACCCAGTGGTCCCTGTACATGGTAGGCATTCTGTGTTTGTTGAGTGAATATTTGCCAGCAGGACTAAAGCACAGAGGCAGCACAGGGACCTCCGGGATGGGACTGTGACACAGGCTACTTTCACACATTTACAAATTAGTAGAGCTGACCCTTTACAGAGAAGAACAAACGCTGAAAGCTGGCAAGCGATCGTATTTGCTTGCATCTGCATAAAGCTGTTGTGGCTTTGGTGGGCATCTATTGTCGTTTGAGAATAATTAGTGAAAATACAATCAAGCAGAAAGAAAATGCTTCGAACATGATGATGGCAGCATAAACACAAATGTGATTGATACAATTGATGTATGGATTGTGATAAGAGCTGTAAGAGCCCCCAATAAAATGATTTTAGAATAATAATACAAAATGACTCCTTGGTGTTCTTGACATTCCCCAAAGATTTGAGAGAAGGGACAGGCAGGGTTAGCACCAAAAACCAAAACAAAACCCACTGCCATTTAGTTGATTCCAATTCATAGCAACCCTAGATAGGGTTTCTGAGACTACAAATCTTCCTGAGAGCAGACAGCCTCAACTTTCTCACATGGAGTAGCTGGTGGGTTTGAACCACAGACACCATGGTTAGTAGCCCAGGAGCTGAACCACAGTGCCCCTAGGGCCTCTACCAGACTGGCAATAATAGATGAATATTTCTGAGATGGCAGAGATCTGGAGCAGAATTCCATGTTGTGAATTCTATCTTTATGGGATGGCTCTTTCTCAAATGCAGCTACATGTCAGGTCAGTGGATATCCCCAGAGGGGAGGGCAACCTCTAAAAGAAAACACATACACTGTGAGAGAGAGAAGTCGCTCTCGCCTTCCTAATCTCCATGTTCTTCACTATTGTCGCCTTTGACAAATTTGATTTGAACCTCTCGACACTGAGGATGCAGAGCAGGGGTTTTGAATGAACAATGTCTCACAGATGAGCAAATTACTTGCAAATACTTGATGTTTTAAACTATGAAAGGGTTTCACATTTCACATGTGTAAGATTCTATGTTATGGAAACTAACGTGCAACTAGGAGCCCTGGTTGGGCAGTGGTTAAGCATTCGGCTGCTAACCCCAAAGTCAACAGTTCCAGCCCACCCGTCGTCGTCAGGGGGAGGTGGGGGAGAGGCAGGCAGGCTTCTTCCATGAAGATTAAGCCTTGGAAGGCCCCTGGGGAGAGTTTAACTCTGCCCTACAGGGTCCCTATGGAGTCTAAATTGACTCTGAACTGTACAGCTGTGACGAAGTGCAATTGAAAAATAATAATAACCAAATCCTTCAACTCTCTAGCTAGCTTTCTCAGCCATCACCTTAGCTGGCCTCGTCGAGGCATTGCCTCACCCTCCAAGGCTGGTTCCCCCATTCATGAAAGGTGGGGTGGAGGCAGGTGAGCACAAAGCTCCTCCCTGCTCTAACACCACAATGCCTGGTCCTATGCCAGGAAACACCCGATGGCATAAATGTTGCATGAGGACGGTGGCTTTTACCCTCCTGGCCATGCTTCTACCATTAGGCAAAACAGCAGACGACAGGCCAACTCCGGGTCCCCGGGTGCTGTCAATGATTAACAGAAAGGGTGGAGGTCATCGTCCACCCAGCAGTGCCTACCAAGAAAGGTCTGGCCATCTATTTCCACAGCAGCGGCCATTGAAAACGCTACAGGGCACAGCTCTATTCCCATACTCATAGAGTCGCCATGAGCATCGACAACTGGTGATTCTTCCTACCCCTTTCGGTTCATCTTCCTGCCCGAAACCCTCACCCTCACGTTAAATGAAGTAAGGGCAATTGACCAGAAAGGGGTGGCCACGAAGCCCGTTGCTGAAATGACTAGCAATCACAGGAGGCCCCTTCCGCACAACTCCCACCTGCCCAACCTGCACAACCAGGCCCCGGGAGTCCCAAGTCCTTTCCACCCCCATCTACCCACTGCAACCACAGGCGCAAATATACGAAACCGTTGTGAGGATGGCGCAGCACCGGGCGGTGTTTCGGTTGGTTGTGCCGAGTGTCGCTATGAGTCGGAACCGCCTCGACGGCATCTAACATCTGCCCACAACCGCGGCCACCGGCACCATGTCCCCTGCAGGTTAAAACTGTATAGCTCACGCCTAACCCACCCCTTCCCTGACGGGCCTCGGACACCGCGCTGAACACAGATGACCTCCTAAGTCCCTCAGATCCGTACGGGGCACAGTCGGCCTGAGGACCCGCCCCCGTGCTCCCTGCACTCCGGCTAGTGCTCCCTCGCGGGCTGAGGCAAACCCGCCCGGGTCCCTTCGGAGGCTAGGCTGCGGCTCTGTCCTCCCTGCTGTGGGGACAGGGGTGGCGTGGGGGGTGGAGGTCTGGGCCGCTGCAGCCCACCCCACCCCCGCCGAGCTCCTCCAGCGGGCCGGCGGCTACCTGGTCCAGCAGCCGGTAGATGCTGATGCCCAAGGTCTCCACCAGCAGCTGCCAGTCGGCCCCGGCCAGCGCGGGCCCTTGGAGTTGGGCGCAGGCCTCCCGGAACTGCTGGTCGGAGAAGCCGCCGGGGGCAGGTTCCATTCTTCCTCCGCGGCCGCAGCGCTTCTGCCGGGACAAGGCCGGGACGTTGGTGTGGCTTCGGGGGCGGGGCCCCGGCGTGTGGGCAGGACCGAGGCGCGCGGGGGAGGGGGCAGGGCCTGGAGCGAGGTGGGGCCTGGGTGGGAGGAGCTAGAGGCGGGGCCTGTGTGGGAGGAGCTAGAGGCGGGGCCTGGGCGGGAGGAGCTAGAGGCGGGGCCTGGGCGGGAGGAGCTAGAGGTGGGGCCTGGGGGGGAGGAGCTAGCGGTGGGCGGAGCTAGAGCCTGGGTGGGAGGAGCTATCAGTGGGCGGGGCTATATGTGGGCGGGGCAAGGGCGAAAGCCGAGGAAAGCGGCCCTCCTTATGAGAAAAGGAGTGAGGAAGTGAGGAGGCTGCCAGAGAGAAGGAAAGAGGGAGAAACAAGGCGCTCGTCCTCTCAGAAGTTCATCCGTCATACCTTCCGCAAACCAAACCAAACCAAACGCACTACCATCCAGTAGATTCCCACGCAGAGTGACCCTCATAGTTACAAGACTCTTAAAAAAAAATCATTTTATTGGGGGTTAGTACCACTCTCATCACAACCCATCCATCCATCCATTGTGTCAAGCACATTTGTGCATTTGTTGCCATCGTCATTCTCAAAACATTTGCTTTTGACTTGAGCCCCTGGTATCAGCTCCTCATTTTTCCCCTCCCTTCCCCACCCTTCCTCCCTCCCCCCTGATAATTTATAAATCATTATTTTTCCATGTCTTACACTGACTGATGTCTCCCCTCACCCCCTTTTCTGTTGACCATTCCCAAGGGAGGGGGTTCTATGTAGATCCTTGTAACCGGTCCCCCCTTTCTACCCCAAGCTTCCTCCACCCTCCCGGTATCACCACTCTCACCACTGGTCCTGAAGGGATCATCTGTCCTGGATTCCCCGTGTTTCCAGTTCCTATCTTTCTCCACTAGCCGCTGGTGAGTTTGAACCACCAACCTCCTAGTTTGTGGCCAAACGCCTAATCTGCATTGCCACCAAGGCTCTTCTCTTTGCTTTCTATCCTTTACCTTCTCTGGAAAAGGTAGGGAAATTCTCTAAGCGGTTGGTAGAATTAAGTAATAATTTATAAACTATCAAGGGTTTATGAGGGAGGGGGCGGGGAGGGTTGGGAAAAAATGAGGAGCTGATATTAAGGGCTCAAGTAGAAAGAAAATGTTTTGAGAGTGATGATGGCAACAAATGTACAAATGTACTTGACACAATGGATGGATGGATGGATTGTGATGAGTTGTACGAGGCCCCAATAAAATGATTTTAAAAATTAAAAAAGGAGGAGGGGAAGACAGAGCAGAAGTACTTGACATTTCCCCCCGGGAATCGGTGTAAGAAAAGTTCTCCTCTCTAGGTAACGCAGCTAGAAGCACATCCGGAAAAGGGATCCTTGGGAATCCATCAGGCCCTCAAAGGGTCCATGGTGCAAAACCAGTTAAGAAATGTAATCCGGCCAGGGGATCCAAGACCGAGCAGCAGGGGTTCTCAGATTGGATTGCAGGATAAATTTGCCCACCCTGGAAGGTGTGGAGGCTCATCGGAAAGGTGTCCTAATCTGGCCAGGATTATTTCTGCAGCTTGCACAGAATAGATCTTTGGGCAATTCAAAGACCTTTTTGTTCCTCTGAAGGTCCTCCAGTATGATTCTATTTCCCATGAGCATACCACACTTGGCTTTAGATCAAACAGATAGTTTAACGGCCAAAACAGCAAAACAACAGTGAGTTAGTTAATTGTGCCAGCCTGGCCGATAATCACATGTGGGGCTGGTTGAAAGGCAGAGGGATAAATGGGTGGTGAAGCCTCGCCTTTCCAGTGCTTGGGTCTCTTGTTTTGTGATGGTTGCACCAGGTGCAGCTGCCTTAGCAGTTCCCTGCTTCAGCTTGCAAGATTGACTTCCTACAAGACATCCCCAAGGAGAAGCCACATGGATCTATCCCGATGCAGCCCTGGGTGCTGGAGCAGCCGTGTGGAGACCCTGCTAGTGCTGAGATGCTTGTTCGTTCACTGACTCAGCTTTCCTCCTGCAGTCGGCATCATTGCCTCTGTTCTGTGAGGTGGAGGACTTTGTGGACTGGTGTTGGGTAAATGGGTTAATGTTGGACTTGTGGGCTTGGGCAGCATTGGGTTGGGATGTTTTCATGATGCACATTTTCTTTACATAAAACTCTCTTATACATGAGTCGCTGTGGATTTGTTTCTCCAAAGTACCCATACTAATACAAACAGCAACAAAACCGCAAAACAAATCCTTCTAGGTGCAAATAAACTGTGGAGATCCATGTTTCCTAATCTGTAAAATGAGGTTAAGAATTGTTCTTTAGGGTTGAAAAGAAGATTAAATAAAACTACAGACATGGAACATTATTGCCCTGTGCCTGTGTCAAGACCAATAGCCCCTGAGAATGCACACAGTTCTGCAACACACAGACGTTTCACCTGCACTTAAAATCCTTGAAGTGGTCAGTAAGCGATGCTTTCATGCCAACTTGCAAGGAGAACAAGAGGATCACAGTTTGCAGGGGTCTCGAGTTCATGTTCTCTTTAATTCAATGCTGTGCTATTTATGGTATGGGTCTAGGGCGTGTGAAATTTTCCTCGACTGAATGCACAAATGGTTTTAGTAATAATTTTCCACTTTTTAAAAAATGTCTTGTAAGTTATAAATCCTGCAGTAAAACTGTATTTTTTAAGAAGCAATTTTATCTAAGACTGTTGGCTGTGAAGATGATCCCTGAAAGGATCATTTCTATCGTTTGTTTCTAAAGAAGGTTCTCGGAACATGAGAAGCCATTGCCTATGTTTCTCAGGTCCCTTCAAGCATTCCCAGTCTACGGTGGGCCATTACGAAGCTGCACTTTGACTCATTCGGGAAGATGAATTAAACCAAAAAATACTCTGTGCCCTAGGGTCAGTTCTGACAGCGACCCTTCAAAACAAAGTAGAACTGCCCCTGTGGGTTTCTGAGGCTATCTGTCCATTTTTACTGAGCAGAAAGCCTCATCGGTCTCACAAGGAGCAGCAGGTAGGTTCAAACTGCTGACGTTGTAGTTAGCGGTCCAGCTCGAGCACTAGGGCTCCTGCGTGGAGGTGAATATACCAACAGCATCTTGGAAGATCTGAAGGGGTGTCAAAAAGGTCATGGCATGACAAATGAACTAAAAGATAATAGAACTTTCCCTTGAACAAGGTGAAGCCCCCTTGA